AAAAAAAAAAAAAAATGTCCTGGTTTTGATACTGTGCTATAGTTATGTAGGATGCAACCACTGGGGGAAACTGGGTGAAGTGCCTCTCTATAATACCTTTGCAATTTCCTATGAATCCATAATTATTTCAAAATTGAAAGTTTTTACAAAGGGGTAATGGTAGGGAAGGAGAGGAAGTAGAATCAGCAGGACTTAGTGACTAGCTAGGTACGAAGGGTTGGGGTATGATTCCCAGGTTGGCACTGGGTGAAGCCAGGGAGCACTAACTGAGCAGTGGGAGGAACAGAGCACTTTTAGGCATGACACAAAAATTGGTGGGGGTTGGAGATGTCTTTAGCCAGTCTTCAGGCCACACAGGCCCTTATTACCTGGACTGCCAGGGAGTAATGACACCATCATCAGGGCCCCCAATCAGCACCAGGTGGCCCACACGAAGAAAGTTCTTTCGCCATGCTGCAGGATGGGAAGAAGAGAGCCTGAGTCAGCCACAAGGTCAGGGCAGGTTGCAGAGAAGAACAGAGGAGGTCAGAGAAGCAGAAAAGGGGACACAGGTAGAAGCCTGGATTCTCACCTGTGGCATTGGGATGATCTCTTTCCCCATTAATCAAGGCCAGGAAGCTGCTGGCATTGAGGTATAAGTCATCATGGTGGGGGTCTGGGTACAAACAGCAGTTAGAAAGATAGGGAAGCAGAGGGGAAGCAAGACTGTGGGCTGCTGTACAAGTCAAAGTGGACAGCAATAAAACAGTAACAATGGTTGTTAACATGATAGCAAGCACTTTCATCAGCACCTGTATAAACCAGGTACTATTCAAAGTATTTGCATTCATTTAATTTATTTAGTCTTCACAACCAGTCTGTGAGATACATGCTATATTATTATTTTACAGATAAGGAAAACTGAGCCACAGTAACTTGTCCAAAGTCACCTAGTAAGGTCAGGCTTCAAACCCACGTAGTCTTTACATTCATCAGTCGAAATACTATACCAGGGGTTGGCAAACTATAACCACTGGGCCCAATCCAGCCTGCTGCTTGTTTTTATAAATAAAGTTTTATTCCAATACAGAAACACGCATTCATTTATATATGGTCTATGGCTGCTTTCACACTACAACAGCAGAACTACATAATTATGACACAGACTGTATGGCCTACAAAGCCAAAAAGACTTACTATCTGGCCTTTACACAAAAGGTTTGCTGACCCCTGCATCAGGCTATACTCTGAGGCAATAAGGTGACAACATAAAGCATTTTGAAAAGTACATGTTCAAATAGTAAGTGCTCAATAAAAGCAAGTTATTACTGTCATCACTGCTATTGGTTATGGTAGAGGTGGGAGCAGCAAGACCCTACACTCTACAGTGCCATCTCCATGGAGGCCCCAGTTCAGCATCTGCCACTCACCGTGCCAATAGTTACAGATGGAGAATTCCTGGCCCCAGGGGCTATAGCAGATCCGGTAGAGGTTAGACCGCATGGAGGTGGGAAACAGCCATTTCAAATAGTCCGTGTCTGGCAAGAGAACAAGAGTGCCAGGTGACCATAAACCTCTTGCCCCCCCCCAAAAAAACTCCGGCCCTTCTATGGAGCTCAGTGCCCCCTCACCTCCATACTGTCCCATCTGTGGAGAGGAGAGGGAGATGAAAGAATCCACATTGTGATCATCCATGACAGAAAGCAGTGCTCGGCACACCAGGCCCCCTGCAGGCAGAACACCACATTGGGCAGGGACTTCAGACAGCCAGGCCAACAGTACCTGCCCCACTGTTCCCCCAACACACTGTACAAGAAGGAGTCTGAGGCTCAGAGAAGGCAGACACGCCACGCCCTCTGCCAACTGATCACACATCTTGTAAGTAACAGAGCCAAAATTAGATACTGCTTCCTGACTCTAACTCTAGGATGCTTTTACCTGCCCCATTTGCCTTTATGTCCAAGTTCATGGGTAATGGGGAAAGAAGGGGCGGCGGTGCAGGGAGCCTCCCCCCAACTCAAGACAGAGATGAGTCCCACGTGCTGAGGGAAGTCAGAAAAGAAGGGCTCAGGTACCAGAGCTTCGGCTAGAGCAACGTGGTTCAGAAAAAGGGACACTAGGAAGCGTCCCTCAGAAACAGACCAAGCCTCGGGCTTAGGAGTCCAGAGCAGAGGAGTTGCCTACCCTGCGAGTAGCAGATGAGATGCACCCCTCGAGGGGCCTTTGCCATGATGGGGACCACAGCCTCTCGGAACCCTTGCACCTGTTCCCACAGGGGTCGCAAGCTCTCTCTCCCATCGAAGAGATCGAGCACTGTCACCACAGTCCCGGGGTGTGTCTGTGGGAAGGGGGCAATGCAGCCACCAAGGGCGGGCTAAGAACCCCCCCACACCACCCGCTGGCCCGCGTCCACATGCCTACTGTGCCCTGCCTGAACCAGGGATCCCATCAGCCCCCAACTCTCCCCACGCCAGCCAGCACCAGCTCCCCGAGGACCTGAGGGTGGCTTTCAGTTACCCGCTCTCCGTCCCAGCCCCTACAGACGCCTCTACTACCCTCCACCCGCGTGTCCTCTGCCAGACCTCGTTGATGTATTCCAGCAGGTGGCGGAAGCTGTACGAGCTGTCGAAGAGCCCGTGCACCACGATGACCGGCTTGTAGGGCGTGCGGCGGGGCGAGGGGGCTGCAGGCAGCAGCGGCGGCAGGAAAGGCAGCAGGAGCAGGACCCACGCCGAGGGGAGCGGCTGCCCCCGGAGCCCCCGCATGCTCCCGCCTGAGAAGGGGACGATGAGGGCCTGTGAGGGAGATGACAACACCCTCTCCCCTCGGAACAAACGCCGGCAATCAAGCCTCCACCTCCCGCTTCCACACTAGGTCTTTGTCACAAAATAGCCTACTTTTAACTTACTCCAGTCGTCTCCCCACAAACACACCCTACCACGTCGGCGCACCCACGCGCACCCGAAGTCCCGCCCCCAACTCGGCGCCCGGGGGGCTCGGTCCCGAGGCCAGGCTCTTCCTAACGTGTCACCCCAGCCACGCACAACCAAGGTCCTGCGAGACCCCTGAGCAGCAGCCCAGGCCCCCTGGAAAGTGCAAGCTCCCACCTGGCCTGGGTCTGTAGGCCTCGCTCCGCCCGCTGTTTACTTCTCTCTAGCCTGGAACCCACGGGGGAGGGGAAGGGTTTGAGGGGAGAGCGCGCACGGGAATGACGGACGTGGGGGGCGGGCTGCTCGGGGTCGCGCACAGCCGTCACGTCCGGGGCTTTCCCTGGCAACCGTGCCAGCGTCCCCCGCAACGCAGGGCTGGGACCGGAGGGGGGATGGAACATTCCATTGCGCCCTAGGAGCGGGGAGGAAATAGGCGGAGCGATCCATTTAGGCTGGTGGGGAGAGGAAAAAGCAGGAAACATGTCGGGAAGTCCAAAGAAGGCCCCTCCAGACCCCACCGCACCCAGCGACGCAGGGGCCTGATTTCCGCCTTGATTCCCCCACTTCCCAATGCAGGGTCGGGCACCGCAGCGGAACGTGCAGTTTTCTCTCCCCAAGGGTGGGTGCGGGTGGACTGGAGAAAGGTAGTCCCCAGCATTTTGTCGCCGCTGGAGGAGTGGCAGGGTGGTCTGGAGGGCTGATGCCAACCCGGGCGTCCCGTTCAACCCCCGCCCGCCCCAGGTTGGCGTCTTACAACTCTTCATTCTGAAGTGCGTGTAGTGCCCTTGTCTCCAGAGACGCGGAGAGCCCTCGACGCCTCTCGAGCTAAGTGCAGCCTGGCCCAGTCTCTCCTGCCCTAGCCTACTCCCCTCCCCAGATACCACCCACCCCGAAGGGGCGGAGGGCCCCGGGGGCTACACTGACTCTAGCCCACACGGTTAGGACTAGTCTTTCAACCGAACGACCCCACGATCCAGCGCTCAGCGCTCTCTGCGCGGCCGCCGACGCACGCCCGCCCCTCGGACTTCCGCGCTCCCGGCGCTCGCCCCTCTGCTCCTGTCTGGGACCCCTACGCGATAGCCTGTGCCCAGTTGGGCCTTTTACTTGCTAGGGCTTTTACATTTAAAGACGTTTGCCTGAAGAAAAGGATTTCTCAGCATGTCTGAACCCCTCCCTCTGTTCACAAGCTCTTTGCTAGTTCTAAACTGGCCTCTCCCAATCTAACCAATTTGCGCCCAGCGTTGTGTAAAGTGAGGATGAGGTGGGGTAAGGGGTTAGGGGCTCAAGCAAACGCCTGAGAATCCAGCCCGACTGGTATGAGGCCATGAGCTAAATCCTGGGACTGGTTCAGGCGAGGGTCTCTCCACTGCTCTGTGGCCTCCGCCCGGACACTGACTGGGGGGACACGGCCCGGCCCGGAGAGCTTCTGCTGCATCCAGGGTCTGGGAAGTACTAGTCTAAACATGGGGTGGGGGGAGGGATAATGATTCTCTGGCTGTGTTGTTGCAAAAAACCCAACTGGTATAAATCTCGGTAGACTGGCGATCCTCACCCCACCCACGCGCTCCCAAGATGTAATAGGCAAATAAAAGACTGCAATAACGCTGTGACTCAGGAAGTGGCGGTGCATCTTGGTGGCAGTGGTGGGTGGGAGTGGGGCGATTTAGGGAATGGATCTGAACACTGACCGGGCAAGGAACGCTAAGCAGCCCAACCAGCAAGGGGAGAATGGGGCAGTAGGCACATAGTCCCAAACCAGCTGCCGGAAATGAGCAGTTGTCCCCACCGCATCCCCCACAGAGAGCTCCAGCTCCTTAATCCTGGATGAAGAAGGTATCTATGCATCCCCTCACTCCACCCCCCCCAACTCTCTCTCTCTCCCTCCCTCCCTCTTCCCAGGCGGACAGAATTCCAGACCTGAACCCCCCACTGCACTGCCAGGGTGGCAGGTCCACCTTATCCTGGGAACTTTACAAACCATCTCAGTTCTCAACTCTGCACAATTCTCTCTCACACAGTTATTCATCTCCTCTAAAGAGGAGGACACTAGGGCCAAAGATTTGGTAGAAGATCCTGGCATCTTGCAGGAAACTGAAGAAAGCTAAGGTGGGGAAGACCTGTCGGAGTGAACCAGGTCTAGAGGGAATTGGGGTATTGAATCCACTGAGAACCTGCTCACTTCCTCCCACAATATAATCACTACAGATAATCTTGAAGGGGGAAACTCTAGAGAGTTCAGTCTCCCTCCTTCCTTTCCTTAGTCCCACCCGCTCGCCTGGTCTTGCTTCCGTTTCCATGACAACTCCAAGGGAGCCTAAACTGGGAGCTTGAATGCCGGGGTGAGAAGAGGAGAGAGGTGGTCCGGGAGTCGGGAGAGACCTAGAGGGGAGAACGTCTGAAACGAGAGGGGACAACATCGGAAACGCTCCCCTCCCTCGCCTCGGTCCCTTTAAGCTCCCCCCCTCCCCGCTCTCCCTCCGCCCCCCGCAGCTGCCTCCATCTCTCCATCTCGGTGCTGCTGCCATCTGCGCCATCGGGCACCCAGACTCGGGAGCCAGCCGGACCACCCCCCCACCCCACCCCGACTCAGGCTGCAGGGATCCTGTCCCAGCCAGACCGCAGGCATGTCATCCGAAAAGTCAGGTAAAAAAACAATAACAAAATCTCCTGCCCTCTCCACCGTTTCCTAACTCTCCCCACCCTTGCCCCAACCCCCATCAGTACCCCTCCCTAGCGGTGGTCCTGTTTCATCCCCCTCTCTCCAGCTCTCAACACCCCCACCCCTCCTCTTCCTTTCCTCCTTCCAGTCTCAGCTCCTGCCCCTTGCCAACAGCATGGCAGAGGGCAGGTTGAGAGGATGAAGGAGGTACGGAGTGGCTAGCATCGGCCAGGTACTGCAGGGACAGCATCATTGGGAATGACAGATGGACAGTCTCAGGCTGGCATGGAGAAGTCCAGAGGGGAAATATGGAGACGTGATCACATTGGGGGTTGTCAGGGGAGTAAAATCCAGAGGAGTCTTCTTTCTCGTCTCTAAAAGAGGTCCCGAGATCCCCAGAGTCTAGGGCACTCTCTCCCCACTGAAGGAAGGCAGAGTGGAACATGCCATCCCACATGTGTTTCTACAGCTGTTGCATTGAGCACATATTAACACAGGACTGCATGTCTACACATATGCATACACAGGACTGGGTCGGATAGGCCAGCCCAAAGGCAGCCATGGCAAAGCATGGAAGACGCTCTCTGCTCTCTGCCAGTGAGGGCTGTGTGCGCGCTGGCAAAGACGGAGGCGGAGAGCAGAGGAGAGTTGCGACCTCAAACTAGATCGAGAGGAGGAAGGGGGTGCAGATGGCCTAGATATCAGCCCCTCTCTTGCCCCTCAAATGAGAGATGGCTTCTCACCTGTCTCTCTCTCCTCCCCACCGCCCCCCATTATCTCTCTCCATCCTTGACCCGCTGTGTCTCCCCTTACCCCTCCTCATCTCATCGCTGTCTGCCTTAACTCTTCCCTATCCTCTCCTGGGCTCATTGCCCCAGGACTCCCAGACTCAGTCCCTCATACTTCTCCACCGCCCTACAATGCCCCTCAGCCTCCGGCCGAACCCCCGGCCCCACCCCCACAGGCAGCCCCTTCCTCGCACCATCACCACCACCACCACTACCACCAGTCCGGCACCGCCACCCTCCCGCGCTTAGGGGCAGGTGGCCTGGCCTCTTCCGCAGCCACCGCTCAGCGTGGCCCCTCGTCCTCCGCCACGCTGCCGCGGCCCCCACACCACGCCCCGCCCGGCCCTGCCGCTGGGGCGCCCCCGCCCGGCTGCGCTACCTTGCCCCGCATGCCACCCGACCCTTACCTGCAGGAGACTCGCTTCGAGGGCCCACTTCCCCCGCCGCCGCCCGCCGCCGCCGCCCCGCCCCCGCCGGCGCCAGCCCAGGCTGCACAGACCCCGGGCTTCGTGGTGCCCACGCACGCGGGGGCGGTGGGCACGCTGCCGCTGGGGGGCTACGTAGCGCCCGGGTACCCCCTGCAGCTGCAGCCCTGCACTGCTTACGTGCCGGTCTACCCGGTGGGCACGGTGAGTGCAGGGCAGACGGGTGTGGGAGGAGGGAGACACGGTGGAACAGGACTTGAAATTGGGGACACAGTGGGGGCTGGTGGGATGGAGAAAGAGGGCCAGGGAACAGGTGGTGTTCCTGGGACTAGCCCTAGAGAGGACAGAGCCTGAGACAGGAGGCGCAGAGGAAAGACTTGGGAATGGGGACGCGTGGGTAGGGGGGTCTGTAGGGAAGAAACAAGGTCTGAAGTGGGGCCCGGACAGCCCGGGTGCGACCCTGCCTTGGGGAAGACAGTGTAAAGACCCCCAAGAGTATGGAGGTTAATGATACAGCGACAGGAGGAGAAGGGCCTCGGCAGAATTTATGGGTGTCTGGGAAGGGTAGTAGGCGATCATTTCTTTGAGAAGCAACAGGTAAGAAAGGTGTCTTTGAAGCCGCTTTGCCAGCCGCCCAACGCTGGTCAGCTGGGAGAGGGTCAGAGTGACGTCCCTTCTCCCCAACTTTCCTTCCACAGCCCTATGCAGGCGGGACTCCAGGGGGGACGGGAGTGACCTCGACTCTCCCGCCGCCGCCACAGGGCCCCGGGCTGGCCCTCCTGGAGCCGAGGCGCCCGCCGCACGACTACATGCCGATCGCGGTGCTGACCACCATCTGCTGCTTCTGGCCGACCGGCATCATCGCCATCTTCAAGGCAGTGCAGGTGGGGCGGCGGGGCTCGCTCGGTTCCTCTCAGTCCGGGAGCGCTGGGCCTCTGGGGATGATTTTAGAGGGAGGCTGAGGCCTTTGAGCGGAGCCGCAGCTCTTACACTTCGCCCACCCCATGCCCGTAGGTGCGCACGGCCTTGGCCCGCGGAGACATGGTGTCGGCCGAGATAGCGTCCCGCGAGGCCCGGAACTTCTCCTTCATCTCCCTGGCTGTGGGCATCGCGGCCATGGTGCTCTGTACCATCCTCACCGTGGTCATCATCATCGCCGCGCAGCACCACGAGAACTACTGGGATCCCTAAAAACGCCCCCAGCCCGGCCCCACCCTGCGCCCCTCGACCTCCCGGGCGCGTTCTGAACCTTGCCGCGGACCCGGTGGGTGCCCTGCACACCCGCCTCCGGGGCCGTCGGACTTCGCCACTTCTTAAACTCGGCCTCCAGGGAACCTCTCACCTTTCGAGCAAGCTCCGAATTCAGTTCCTCAGGAACCCCCCTAAAGCCCACACCCCTAGGGACGCCGCTTTTGGGGATCCCGGCCAGACGCTCGGCCCACAGTTGCTCCAGGCTCCCACCCCTCAAAGTACAGCGCCACAGGCCGAACACCCTCGCTCTGGTCCCCAGAGACCCGCCGCCTCTATAGGCTCCGCCCCAACCCCAACAAACCCCGCCTCCAGGTCGGCAGGCTCCGCCTTCTTTTCTTCGCGGGGGTCTTCTCTTCATTCCCAGGGGGACCCGGCTCCCGGGTAGCCGCGCCCCGCGCGCACTCCCGTTTTTTCCAAGTACAGTTTCATCCCTCCTCCACCCACGCCTCTGCCTATTTTCTTGCTAATCCCAGAACCTCTCCTTTTGTTGTTTTTGGAATGACATTTGGAAAGTTCCTGGTTTAGGACCCTTCTTCCTGGGATAAGAAACATGTCCTGTTCTCTGTAAATACGCCCTTCCACCCATTCCAACCCGGGCAGCCGGCTGAGGGGAATCCAGGATATGGACCTCCCAATCCCAGAGGAGAGCCAGCCGGCTCTCGGTTCCCCTGGGCGATCCCGCCTTGTTCTGATCTGTGTGTGCGTGTGCGTGAACTTCCGAACGACAATATTAAAGAGACTTCGTGGCTGTGTCGCCCGCAATTCCAAAGACTGTGGCCCCATGAAGACCCTGCCCTTTTGGTTCCCTCTTTCACTATCCTTCATCTCCTCTTTCAGGGAAAAAAAGAAAGCCGACAGAGACCAAAGCGGGAGAGGCAGATGCCCAGACCACCAGAAGGACACACAAACATGGGGCCCACAGGGAGCCTGCCAGGGAAGACCTTCGGCCTACTGTCAGTGGGCCTTTCCTTCCCCAGCACCCCCTTTCCACTCCCTACTGTCCCCAGAACTCCAGGAAGGCAAGAGGAAAGACGAGGGCAGACCATTGTGAAGAAGTCGGTTAAGGGCAGGGTGACAGAGGCAGGAAAAAGATGCCAGCTGCCCATAGCTGTTCCCGGCTGCGGGCTGGAGGGCAGCAGACAACTTGGATTAGAGCCTCACCTGGCCTACTGTATCAGGCAAAAAGGACAAAGAACTGTGGAGGCCCCAGGGCAGAGGTCCATGGCCTCTCAAGTCTCCCTGGGGCTAAGTGCCCTCTCCTACCCTGAGGCCTCTTTGGGAGGGAGGTGGCAATTAGGGGGTGACAGAAGCCATGGGCAAGACAGGGTCCTACCCTGAATTTATGCATTGATACAACATGCAAACTCCATGCAGGGTACTGGCGAGACATCTGCCTGGACAGCAGGCTCGACCCCTGACCTCATGGAGCTTACAGTCTAGAAGGGAAGCCATGACTAATAGGAGACATGGGAGGAGGGAGGGGTTAGACATGGATATCATGGGTTCTCCTTTGGATGTTTCATACTTAATGTACCTACCTTACCAAACTTATGGAAAAAGAATCCATGTTTGCAGCTTCTACTTCCTCACGCCTAAACACCTTTTTTTTTCTCGAATAGGGGAGTATTACTAACAGAGATGTGTCTGTGTCTGCCTTTCTTTCATACCCACTATTTCTTGACTCCTTGAAATATTTTACTCCCTACTCTACTGAGACCCACTCTCAAATGGCACCCAATGGTCAGAGGTTACCAGAGGAGCACAAATTAGTGGCATTTTCATGGTACTCTGCCTCTCTGAACTCTGCCATGTTTGTCCCTTGACCCTGGAATCCCCACATCACATCTCCAGGTTCATGGACATGTTATCTCCTCCCTCCCCCCATTATCCTTCCTCTGCCCTTCCCCTTTGCTTTTTCTCCTGCCTTCTCGTGTTAAGTGTCTGTCTCTGGATTCTTTCCTTCTCTGAGACTTTCCCTTAAAAAGTTCATCCATGGCCGTACGTGGTGGCTCACGCCTGTAATCCTAGCACTCTGGGAGGCCGAGGCGGGCGGATTGCTCAAGGTCAGGAGTTCGAAACCAGCCTGAGCAAGAGCGAGACCCCGTCTCTACTATAAATAGAAAGAAATTAATTGGTCAACTAAAAATATATATACAAGAAAATTTGCCGGGCATGGTGGCACACGCCTGTAGTGCCAGCTACTTGGGAGGCTGAGGCAGTAGGATCGCTTGAGCCCAGGAGTTTGAGGTTGCTGTGAGCTAGGCTGAAGCCACGGCACTCACTCTAGCCTGGGCAACAAAGCGAGACTCTGTCTCAAAAAAAAAAGTTCATCCATTCACCTGGGCCATCATCTCTAACCAAATGCTTCTCTAGCCTGTGTGTCACATGCAGACACGTGTCCAGTGCCTGCGGAGGAACCCAGACAAACAGACCATGCTGCTGGTTCGCAAAATCAGCATGTTCCACACTAAACTGATGAAATGCCACCAAAACCTCCTTCCCTGTCTCCATGTATGGCACCATTGTCCCCATCACCCTTCCTTATCTGAAAACTTGCTGCCTCCTCCACCTCCCCTCTGCCTTACTTTTGGTGTGCTCTCAGACCCAGTTAATTCTACCATGGTATCTTTAACTTTTTCCCAGCCCTTGCCGGAAAAATTACCTCATCTAGGTACATTGCAACAGCTTCCCCAGCAGGTCTCCCTACTGCCTGCCCGGTGCCACGTCTCCCTGGCCACTGCTGTTAGATTAGCCTCCCTAAACACACTCATATGCAACTCCACTGCTCAAAAGCCTCTCAGGTTCCCTACTGCTTACTCAATTATTTAAAAAATTTCAATCTGGCCTTTTTAACTCTTTCCGTAATTTAAAATCATCCAGCTTCTCTGTTCAACCTAATTTCCAAACAAATTGAATTACTCATCATTGCTATCTCCAGGTATTTGCCCGATTGCTCTCAAATCTTAGACCTCCTTCCTCAGTCTCTGCTTATTTATTATAAACCGCATTGTTTACAGCTTGTTGTGAGCTTCAGACCACCTCCAGGCTTCTGTTCTTTGTTCTCCTCCTCTTCACATCCGCCTCTCTCCTTGGTGAAATTTTATCTAGCCTTCAAGGCCCAGATCAATTCATTCTTTACTCCAGCAAGATCTCACTTGCCCTCTGGGTGGTATTAAAGCAGATGGGTTTCTAAATACAGCCCCAGGCATTCCTTGGAGCAATGGTTCTTACCCCTGGATACACATTAGAATCCTCTGAGGAACATTTAAAAGTCCCAAAGCCCAGGTCGAATCCTAGACCAATTAAATCAGAATCTCTGGGGGTGGGACTAAGGCATCAATATTTAAGACATGCCTAGATGATTCCAAATCCTAGGCTTAGAGACACCAGCAGGGACCATCCTGACAGAGAGGAAGGGAGAGACCAAAAGGTGGCTTCAAATAGGGCTTTTTTTTTTTTTTTTTTTTTTTTGAGACAGAGTCTCTCTCTGTCACCCTGAGTGGCATCATCATAACTCACTACAACTTCATACTTCTGGGCTCAAGTGATCCTCCTGCCTTAGCCTCCTGTGTAGCTGTTCCACATGCAATCACCTCTCACCACACTTTTGGCCCCTCTCCCTCTGACACATTTTACCCCTGGTTAAATCCCACTCTACCCGCTCCACACCTGCACCCCATACCTCGGGGCACCCACAGTCATACTGAGTGGGCTCGCTGCCCGTGGGCCCTCCGGGTTGCCTGCCAGCCCACACTTCTTTCCTTAGTTGGTTCACATCCCCCAAATCTGAGACCACAATTTCACAAGATAATAACCTTTCTTCCCATTTCAGTGAGAAAATAGAAATTTTCAGACAAGAACTTCCTCATAGTCCCACCCCAAAGCCACCAGCCTACCTGCATCTCTGCCAGGGAGGCAGAGCATCTGACCTGCTCCCAGCTCCCATCTGTGCCCTGGGGTCCTTCCCACGGGACTCTGAAATTACCCCCTCTATATCGCATAATTGGTTTTCCCCTCTTTGCTGAAATATTCCCATCATCATACAAACATGCTATAATAATATACCTTGTATTTGCTACCGATGTATATAGTAACAGTAAAACATTCAGAATAGTGCTTATCCCTTGTCAGTAAGAGTTTGACTGCAGAGGGACATCCAGGGGGCTTCAACAATGTTAGCAAGTTACTTTTTTTTTTTTTTTTTTTTTGAGACAGAGTCTCACTCTTTGTCCGGGCCAGTGTGCCATGGCATCAGCCTAGCTCACAGCAACCTCAAACTCCTGGGCTCAAGCGATCCTCCTGCCTCAGCCTCCTGAGTAGCTATATGTATATTTTTAGTTGGCCAATTAATTTCTTTCTATTTATAGTAGAGGCGGGGTCTCGCTCTTGCTCAGGCTGGTTTCGAACTCCTGACCTCAAGCAATCTGCCCGCCTCAGCCTCCCAGAGTGCTAGGATTACAGCACTGGGGAACTGAGCCCAGCCTGGGGAACATCTTGATCATGTGGTTTTCAAGAGTGAGTGATCCTCCCATGCCACCCCCAGGGACATTTAGCAATGTCTAGAGATGTTTTCAGTCATCACAACTGAGAAGGTGCCCCTAGCATCTAATGAGCAGAAGCCAGGTATGCTGCTAAACATGCTGCAACATGAGGACATGATAAAGAATTATCCAGCCCAGGCCAGGGGTGGTGGCTCACGCCTGTAATCCTAGCATTATGGGAGGCCGAGGCTGGCGGATTGCTCAAGGTCAGGAGTTCGAAACCAGCCTGAGCAAGAGCGAGAACCCATCTCTACTAAAAATAGAAAGAAATTAATTGGCCAACTAATATATATAGAAAAAATTAGCCAGGCATGGTGGCGCATGCCTGTAGTCCCAGCTACTCAGGAGGCTGAGGCAGAAGGATTGCTTGAACCCAGGAGTTTGAGGTTGCTGTGAGCTAGGCTGATGCCACAGCACTCACTCTAGCCTGGGCAACAAATCGAGACTCTGTCTCAAAAAAAAAAAAAAAAAAAAAGAGAGAGAGAATTATCCAGCCCAAAATGTCAATAGTGCTAAGGTTAACAAATCCTAGTCTAGACCCACCAGCAACATTTGATAGAGTTGGTCACTTCCTCCTACTGCAAATGCTCAGATGCTTTCTCCACTTCAAATACTCTCTCTGGATCCAACTACAGAAAGTATTCCCCAGTTCCTTATTTGCTGATCCTTCTCAGTTTTTACAGACCGTTCTCAAATATTATTTTTTTTCTTTTAATTAATTGCAAGGAGAAATAGACAAAATTTAGCTTTTTTTTTTTTTTTTTTTTTTGAGACAGGGTCTCACTGTGTTGCCCAGGCTAGAGTGCAATGGCATCAGCCTAGCCAACGGTATCCTCAAACTTCTGGGCTAAAGTAATCCTTCTGCCTCAGCCTCCTGAGCAGCTAGGACTACAGGCAGGCCACCACACCAGCTGACCAGCTGTTTTTTCCTTTTGTTTTCATAGAGACAGTGTCTCACTATGTTGCCCAGAGCTGGTCTTGAACTCCTGGCCTCAAGTGATCCTCCCAACTTTGGCCTCCCAAAGTACTGGGATTATAGGCATGAGCCACCCCACCCAGCCCAGACCCCTAAATGTTTATTGGAAGGACTCAAGACTCTATCCTTGGCCCTCTCCTCTACCCTAATCTAAGCTCCCATGCTACCACTGTGCCAGGACTAGCCCCTTAATTGGATTTTCTGCTACCATTTTTGACTGATATAGTTTATCCTCTATGCAGAAATCAGATCTTTAATTTATCAGATGATAACATATACCTGCTCAAAACCCTCTGATGGCCCCTGATCACAGTTAGAACAAAACACAAAGTCTTTCCTGCAGCCTATGAAGCCTGCCTGGCCCTGCTCCCCCCACCTTCCTGGCTGCACCTCCACCACTCCTTCCCTTGCTTGCTCTGCTCTGCCTATCCTGCTCTCCTTTTTGCTGTGAATTTGGCATAACAAAACCCAATGTCTTCCTGCCTCAGGGCCTTTGCACTCCCTTTTTCTCTTCCAGGACACTCTTCCTCCAGATATTTGCATGGCCGCCCCCTTACATCATTTATGTCTTTGCACAAATATCAGCTCCACAAGGTGGCTTTTGCTAACTGATCTCGCAATTAAATATAGCACCACACACACCTGCTAGAATCTGCTATCCACTCTCTTACCCTGTTTCATTGTGTTCATAGCACTTGTTACTGCCTTACATCATATTATATTTTATTTTATTTATTTTATTTTTTGGAGACAGAGTCTCACTCTGTTGCCCGGGCTAGAGTGCCATGGCATCAGTTTAGCTCACAGCAACCTCAAACTCCTGGGCTTAAGCAGTTCTTCTGCCTCAGCCTCCCGAGTAGCTGGGACTACAGGCATGTGCCACCATGCCCGGCTAATTTTTTTCTATATATTTTCAGTTGGCCAATTAATTTTTTTCTATTTATAGTAGAGGCAGGGTCTCGCTCTTGCTCAGGCTGGTTTCGAACTCCTGACCTCAAGTGATCCACACTCCTCGGCCTCCCAGAGTGCTAGGATTACAGGCGTGAGCCACCGCACCCGGCCCGTATTATATTTTATTAATTGATGTTTACTGCCTATCATCTTTACTTGAATGAAAGCAACCAGAGATTCAGGGCTTTTTCCCACTGCCTTATTCCCAGCACACACCACTGTGCTTGGCACAAAGCCGGCCTCTATAAAGTTTCCTTGAATAAGGAGCTCATAAAGTTGTGCAAGGGGAAAATGCGATAATATATATGAGACACTTAGCACAGTGCCTGATACTGTGGCCATAATGCATGGTCAGTGTTGAGGAAAGAGAATTCTCACCATGAAACACTTCACTGCCAAAAGGCTGCCTTTCATTGCCTCCTGTAGGAAAGCCCTGCCTGTCAGGGAAGCACAAAATGCTTTGGGAGTAAAGAGGAGGGATGAACAATTTAGACACAATCACAGCAGAACTAAAAACCACAAAGACTACCAAAGCTAAACAGAGGGGCAACTTATTTAGCCTTTGGAAAGCTAGAATTTTTATCTCTCATGCTCACGATAAATGGTAGGGCAAGTGCAGCATATAATTCCGCGTGGTGAATCTGAAATGTGAGAGTGTAAAAACGTCCAACCGGCTCAGTGCATGGCGACAAGACAGCATGCCCAGTATTGGGAGACCCTGGGAAAGCTGAGATTGACAAGCTGGAAATAAATTATCTTGGGTGTCCTTACCTCTCCTGCCTTGTGCTGCTTCCTCTACAGGCGACAAATCCCTTCAATTCCTGCGTGCCAAAGTTAGAGCCGCCTTCCAAGGCTCACCTCTGAGCCTCTCCATGGTGCCTTTCAGATCACCCCTGGTTGGAAATGGCTTTCCCGCCCCACTTAATCACTGTTTCTCTTGCATCTGGAGCATTCGCTAATATGAATCCTGGTGGAGATCTTCTGTACTTGTCTCCATATCTCACTGATGTATTTTGAGTATTCAGTAAAGATTATTGAATGAATAAGAAAATAATCTTACTTCAGTCATTTAGAGGGCAAGTGTCATATACTCTCTGTGTCCATGGACAAGATGGAACAACCACCAGCTCCTGAACCTCTCCTTGCACTGTCTCAGGTTAGATCTTTTCTTTATTTTAAAAAAAATTTATTTTTCTAATTTTTCTTTTCTCTTTCCATCTATGATTGTAAATTAATGGCAGAAAATCAGGTTAGATCTTTAACAAAGGCAAAACGATGCCTTTATGGGATAGAGCAAGGAGAGTAGCCGAGTATAGTCAGCTCCTCTGAGCCACTTGGAAGGAAGGGACTCAGAAACAAGGAGGGAGGGAAGTGACTCCAGGTGAGATGTAAATATACTTATTCACAGGTAAAAATCCTCAGAAATTTGTCAAATGTGAGGTTTCCCCTCAGACTGGTCTTCAGAAAGGCATTAAGGACCCCTTGCAAGGACTGGGAGGGAGAAAGGGGTTCACTTTCCACAATCACAGGGAGTAGAATCTGTACCCCTGCCAAGTCCTTCCATTCTCCCAGATGTCTCTTTGACCTTCTTAACCCAGAATCTCACTTTTCCAGAGGTTCCTGTGTGCTCCTCCCTCCCATCCCTCTCACCTGAGGCTAGGAAAGGTCTTGGGCACAAGGTAAGTCAAGTCCATTTGCACTTGCATCCATATAACTTCTGGGGGTGTTGGTGAGATTAGTTCCTGCAACACCAAAGGAAGAGAGGTGAGAGAAAGGGATTGGATCCTGTCACTTGGGAAAGAAGATTCACTTTCATCTCTTCTCCTCAAGCCTGCTCTTCTTCCATGCCATTCTCAAATCTCTAGGGGAAGAGAAAGGAGAGAGACACTACTCCCCAGTCCACGCCTGTCCCAACAGATAAGCAGTTTTTCATTTGTCATCCTCTTATTGTGTCTTTCTCAGGCCCCATGTTCTCTGGCCAAGCCTGGGGATGTACTCCTCTGGTTTGTTTCTCTCTTTGGTCCTGGTTTCTCAGTGACGACCTCCAGAGAGCTGAGCTCTGGCAAAATTAGACTCAAGGGATAGGGAGCTGGGAGGGAACAAGGAGTGTGAGTGTGAGTCAGTCAACATTCACTGTGCCTACACTTTGGGGGAGAGTCTATACTCTTTCCCATTCTTTTCTTTCTTTTTTTTTTCAAATTTTTTCAGGTAGCATCTCATCCAAAAATAAAGGTGCTACCTCTTTTTCATTTCTGAGTCTTCAACAGTTTGGCCCCTTCCTAATCCTGCATTTGTCAAGTTGAGACATAGCGAAATCTACGGAGTCATGGATGTCTTCCCTGAGGACCTCTTAGTCCTCTTCTAAAACTTTAATATTTTGTGCTTTCATCTTGATGGGTCATGTTTTTAAAAATAAAAACATTTTAATTCATGGTGACTTGAATTAGTTTCTTTAGGGGTTTCAGTGCCTATGTTTGTATTTGCATTTATAGTCCAATGGTGACAAAATTGACTGTTTGATTCAGTGTTTCTCAATGTGGGCATACAGGAGTGTTTTCTGAGGTTCAGCTCCAATTCATTCTTATTTTTTTCCTCCAAAAAATACATATGTTGAAATCCAATTCATTTTTTAGATGGTAGCAAAAAATGTCTCATCCTCAAGAAATGTTCCCTCATCCCTTATCACTCACTCTTATAGCATCTCACACTTCTTCATACACCTGTAATACAACTTACTCTTCTTGTCCACACTATAAGCAGAGAAGTCTTTGAATGGGAAACTAGGGTGAATGAGGATTGAGTGGAGAATGGTGGGGGTGGTAGTAAATGATAGTGATGGCAGTCCTTTGATTGGGTGATCTCAGGCCCTCCTGTGCTACTATCTCCATGTTTGGAGCTCCTAGCAGGGGTTATCCCCTGTCTGTTCCTTGGCCCATTCAATCCAGGGTGCTCCAAGATAAAACCTCAGGGCTAGGTTAAAGATCTTCATTAAAGATCTAACCTGAGTTCCATGAGGGCTATAAGTATGTCTGTCTCATTCATCTGTGTATCCCCTGTCCCTAATATGCAGCTTGGTACATAGCAGGTGCTCAATAAAGATTTGTTGAATGAATGGAGAAGATAAACACAAAAGAAATGGAGACAAAGCCCCTGCCCTGTTGAGTCTGCTGGAACCAAATCATACACACACAAAGCAACAAGAAGACATTACAAAGCAATACATTTGTAGCAGAGTAGTTTCTTTTAATTGAGAGAAGCTAATCTTTCAAGAGTCATTGGAGTGACACTGTCAGTCAAAACACACATAATGCAAATTAGCAATATTTGTCCAGGCTTAGGGTGTATTAAGCATTTTGGGACTCATTCTAGACTGCCTGCCTTTCCTAGAAATCCCTAAAATGAAGAGGGGGAAGAGGGAGGGAGAAGAGATGGATTAATTTTCAATAGCATCCCAGGGATTCCAAGAATCAGAGTAATTAGCCATGGGGAGAGTGGCAGTAGGCTAAGGTACTTTGGCTCAGACCCCAGAAATAAAACCTGAAGAAAAAAAGTCTAGGTTAGTGATCTGGGGCTTAACACAAAACAGGAGAGGACTGTCCTGACACAAGTTTGTGGCTAATGATGAAACTGCCTCCCCTCTTGGCTGTCCTTGCATGGTTCTTTTTTTTTTTTTTTTTTTTTTTTAGACAGGGTCTTGCTTTGTTGCCCAGGCTAGAGTGAGTGCCGTGGCGTCAGCCTAGCCCACAGCAACCTCAAACTCCTGGACTCAAGCAATCCTTCTGCCTCAGCCTCCCAAGTAGCTGGGACTACAGGCATGCGCCACCATGCCCGGCTAATTTCTATTTATAGTAGAGACAGGGTCTCACTCTTGCTCAGGCTGGTTTCGAACTTCTGACTTTGAGCAATCTGCCCGCCTCGGCCTCCCAGAGTGTTAGAATTACAGGCGTGAGCCACCACACCCGGCCCTTGCATGGTTCTTGTAGTCTTAGGCACAGTGGTGGGGTGTTAAAAAGCAAACTGCAGGAGTCAAAGGGAGGTACTGAAAGTGGGATTCTTCGTCCCTGAAGAGCTGTGGTGGCCCAGCTGGTACAGGTAGCTGAATGAGCAAGGCTGAATCACAAAAGGGATCTACATCTTCTATTAGGAGGAGGAGGACCTGCTACCTCCAGTGGAGCAGGTTATACCAGTTATATATGCCAAATGTAGGACAAACTGAAGAGGCACAAAGCAAGGGGAGAAGAGAATGGGATGAGGTTATTCTAGAATCATGCTATTCAAAGTGTGGTGGTTCATGGACCAGCAGCATCAGCATTATCCAGAAGCTTGCTGAAATGCAGAATCACAGGCACCATCCCAGAGTTCCTAATCATATTCTGCAATTTAACAAGTTTCCCAGTGATGTGTATACATTTTAAGGTTAGAAAAGTATAGTCTAAGATTTCTTGAAAGATTTCTTGACGGAGGAGGGCTTGAGAGGCAAAGATGGATATGAAGGGAAGGAAAAGCCTCAGGTGGTATCCCAAGGGAATAGAGCAGGTTGGAGAGAAAGAGGCCTGAGGTTTTATGAAGCACCTTGGATTGAATGGGCCAAGGAACATATTCAAGGGCTTCTCTCTCTCTCTCTCTCTCTCTCTCTTTTTTTTTTTTTTTGATACAGAGTCTCACTCTGTTGCCCAGGCTAGAGTGAGTGCCATGGCATCAGCCTAGTTCACAGCAACCTCACACTCCTGGGCTCAAGCGGTCCTCCTGCCTCAGCCTCCCGAGTAGCTGGGTCTACAGGCACCATGCCCCGCCAATTTTTTCTATATATATTTTTAGTTGGTCAATTAATTTCTTTCTATCTTTAGTAGAGACAGGTCTCCCTCCGGCTGGTTTCGAACTCCTGACCTCGAGCAATCCGCCCGCCTCGGCCTCCCAGAGTGCTAGGATTACAGGCGTGAGCCATTTCAAGTGCTTCGCTACGCTTTGACTCTTAAACTGGTAACCTGGCCAGCGGGACCTCGCCAAGTTTGGATCGATTTGGCCTAGTTCGGTTGCTACGGTCTGGAGCTTCGCAGTGGCTGAGGAAGTGACGTCTTGCCCGATAGGCGGGCTAACCAGCCCCCTCCCTCCTTCCGATTGGCTGCCAGGAATTTGACTGGCCTCTCAATCTCGCGGGCTCCAGGATTAGCTGTCAATATCCCTCGCAGCTGCTCGGGGTCCCCCGGCCGCCTACTCCGCCGAGGGAAAGACTCCGAGGACCGTATTCAGTAAGCACTTGGCTTTAGAAGGAGAGGCGATTCGAATGGTCTGGCTTCCTGCCACTATGCTAGGCGCTTTGCCCCCCCCCCCCAGGAACTTATTGACCCGACCGGGAGTCCGTAGTTGCGGCGGCTACCAGAAGCGCAGGGAATTGTGGAATTTATAGTTCTAAATTAGGTCTGGGTGGAACGGAGCCTCGAGTAGGACAGATTTTTGGAGGAAAAACAATTGCGGACTTTCAAGACCAGAGGCCTGAGTCTTAGAAGGATGAGAAAGGACAAGAAAGAGTCTAAATAAGAGTCCTGCAATTAGCATTGTTTTGGTTGTCTTCTCAGGTGCTGACCTCGACCGGGTCCATTCCTTTCTGACCAAACTGTTCACCCACGGTGGAAGGGGCCAGGCAACCAAATGGAGACTCCACCAGTCAGTCCAATGGGAGAAAAGGACACCCCTCAGCTGCAACAACAAAGAGAAAAGAACTCCCAGGAGAACCTTGATTCAATTATTCAGATTAGGCAGCAACCCGGATACCCTCCTACTGAAACCCTTGATCTGGGAATGAGTCTAGATCCAGCCAGCCACATTCTAGAGAATACTCAAGGAACTGAAAAACTTGTCGCTGAACTTGAAGGAGACTCTAATAAGTTTCATGGATCAACCAGTGAGATGCCAGAAGCCCTTCAAGCTTCTGATATCTGGTACTGTCCCGATGGGAGCTTTGTCAAGAAGATAATAATCCGTGGCCGTGGCTTGGACAAACCCAAGCTAGGCTCCCGCTGCCGGGTACTGGCTTTGGGGTTTTCTTTTGAGTCAGGGCCGCCAGAGGGCTGGACAGAGCTAACAATGGGTGTAGGACCATGGAGGGAGGAAACTTGGGGGGAACTCATAGAGAAATGCTTGGAGTCCATGTGTCAAGGTGAGGAAGCAGAGCTTCAGTTCCCTGGACACTCTGGACCTCCTTTCAGGCTCACCCTGGCCTCCTTCACTGAGGGCTGGGACTCCTGGGAGTTGGAGACGCGCGAGAAGGAGGCCCTGGCCACGGAAGAACGTGCAAGGGGGACAGAACTATTTCGAGCTGGGAACCCTGAAGGGGCTGCCCGATGCTATGGACGAGCTCTTCGCCTGCTGCTGACTTTACCCCCACCTGGCCCTCCAGAACGAACTGTTCTTCATGCTAATCTGGCTGCCTGTCAGTTGCTACTAGGGCAGCCCCAGTTGGCAGCCCAGAGCTGTGACCGGGTGTTAGAGCGGGAGCCTGGCCATTTAAAGGCCTTATACCGAAGAGGGGTTGCCCAGGCTGCCCTTGGGAACCTGGAAAAAGCAACTGCTGACCTCAAGAAGGTGCTGGCTATAGATCCCCAAAACCGGGCAGCCCAGGAGGAGCTGGGGAAGGTGGTCATTCAGGCGAAAAAACAGGATGCAGGGCTGGCTCAGGGTCTGCGGAAGATGTTTGGCTGATTAAAAATTACATGTTAAAAGAGACAGGAACCTGTAAATTGTGGTCTGTGCTGTGAGATTGTGGGTGGGTTAGCAGGGGGAAAGTTTCAGCCCATATCCCATTCCCAGCTTTTGCCTTCTTAGGAGAGGTAGCAGTGGTCTCAGTGCGCCTCTTTTGAGGGGTTTATCCTTCTCCGAAGACACCGAGAGGACTAGCTGGCGGAGAATGCCTGCCTTTTAAATCGTGGGAACTACATCTCCCAGGCTCTTTATCGCTGGGGCCCGTAGGCGCATGCGCCAACTTACAGCCCGGTACTCTCTAGAAAGCCACTTCCCGCGGTGCTCCCGCTGGCCCCGCCCATACGGCCTTCTCTCCTATTGATTCATGTGCTCAGCACCCAGGACTCTTACTGGTCGGTAGGGCTTCCGGGACGCCCCCTTTTATGAAAGAGTCACCCTATTAGTTGATGATGGGGAGAGGCGGGCCTTGGGGACCGTCTCATGGTTGGGGGGGGTGGGGGCAAAGATGGCGGAGCTGATGCTCCTCAGCGAGATTGCGGACCCGACGCGTTTCTTCACCGACAACCTGCTGAGCCCGGAGGACTGGGGTCTGCGGAGTGAGGCCCCAGGGAGGGGAGAGGACTATGGCAAATGGTGTCCTTGGGCTTGCGGGGAGGAAGCGGAGGCCCAAAGAGGAAAGCTAGGCGATAAGGAATCCACCATGTGAAGGACTGCAGAGCAGGGGCTCGTTGTGCATTCGGGGGATGCGGGAGTGGGGAAGACCTCTGCTCCCCGCGGGAACGTCGAGTTGTTCCGGGGTCGGGGAAGGAGGGGCTGAAGCTCTTCGGTTGTATCACTTTTCAAGTGGGCGGGCGGTGGGTCTGGCCGAGCCGAGCCAATGAGGGCTGGGGCGGGGGCTTGTGTGCGTCTGTAGGCTGGGCAACCGAAGGACCCCTTGACACTCAGCACTTCTTGCAGACAGCACCTTGTATGCCGGCCTGGATGAAGTGGCCGAGGAGCAGACGCAGCTCTTCCGTTGCCAGGAGCAGGATGTCCCGGTACTGTGCCCCCAGCCTTTCTCCAACCCTTTGTGGGTGGGAGTGGTCCCAGCATCTGGATTCCTCCCCAGCCCAGAGCTCATCTAGAGTCACCCTCACTTTCTCACATTCCTGTTCTCTGATAGTCTTTCTTTTTTTTCCTTTTTTCTTTTTTTCCCTGGTTTTTTGTTTGTTTGTTTTGTGACAGAGTCTCACTCTGTTGCCCCAGCTAGAGTGCCGTGGCGTCAGCCTAGCTCATAGCAACCTCAAACTCCTGGGCTCAAGCCATCCTCCTGCCTCAGCCTCCCAGGTAGCTGGGACTACAGGCATGCGCCACCGTGCCCAGCTGATTTTTTTCTGTTTTTAGTTGTTTGGCTAATTTCTTTCTATTTATAATAGAGACAGGGGTCTCGCTGTTACTCAGGCTGGTCTTGAACTCCTGAGCTCAAGCAATCCTCCCACCTCAGCCTCCCAGAGTGCTAGGATTACAGGCAGGAGCCACTGCGCCGGGCCTTGATATCCTTTCTTATTCAGTTTGACAGCAGCTCCCTGGATGTGGAGATGGATGGCACCCCCTCTGAGCCCCCATGGGATTTCCTGCCTATCTTCCCAGGTAAGATAGCCTTTGTTGTTCCCTCATCCTTCCAAGGATCCTCATTTTCCCAACCCCAGAAACTAAGTAATTTTCTGTATCTTCAGACCTCTGCTTAAGTGCGTGTGTACTCCTGTCTCCTTTAATCCCTTATATATGTTCCTTCCCCCTTGCCTTGGTGAAGGAATCCCCACCCCCATGTCCTTAGACACTTTTCAGACTCTTCTCAGGTTCTGTTTCCTGATTGTTTTCTAACCCTCTTTCCTCCAGATCTTCACGTGAAGTCTGAGCCATCTTCCCCCTGTTCTTCTTCCTCTATCAGCTCCGAGTCATCACGGCTCTCCACGGAGCCTTCCAGCCAGGTGAGAGAGCCATCTCCCTCCTTCTACTCCCCGTGGCAAGGACTATGCTTCATTCCCTTCACCCACTGATGAAGGGGACAGATGCTGAGGACAGGATTTATGTGCTATGAGTCATGGGGTTGGGGGGCACTTCTTCCTTGCCTTTGCCATTTCCTTAATATCCTCATTTTCTACATCTCTACTTTATCTAGAAGTGAAGTTGGAGGCTTGTTAATATACAGAGATCTGTGGCAGCAGTGGTGGGGCTGGGAAGGAGAGAGTTGTTAACTACTGCGAATTTTGGAACTGTTCTTGCCCAAGTTGTCCACACTAAGGCCATGTTGAAATCATTGAGACTTCATCAACCTTCCCAGAAATAAAGTAGAAAGAAAGAACAAGGGGCCAGAGACAACTTAGGGGGATGCTGAGTACCATTCAGACCAGAATGTCAAATAATTGATGGTGGCTGGACATGGTGGCTCACGCCTGTAATCCTATCACTCTGGGAGGCCAAGACGGGAGGATCGCTTGAGGTCAGGAGTTGGAAACTAGCCTGAGCAAGAGCGAGATCCCGTCTCTATTATAAATCGAAAGAAATTAACTGGCCAACTAATATATATAGAAAAAATTAGCCAGGCATGGTGGCACATGCCTGTAGTCCCAGCTACTCGGGAGGCTGAGGCAGGAGGATCGCTTGAGCCCAGGAGTTTGAGGTTGCTGTGAGCTAGGCTGACGCCATGGCACTCACGCCTAGGCAACAAAGCGAGACTGTCTCAAAAAAAAAGAAAGAAAAAAACAATAATTGATGGTTTATAAGCACTAAAGCTTTTGTTCTTGTTCTTACTCTCAACACCTCCCTTGGTTTCTTTTCTTCTTTCTGCCCTCCTGCTCTACTCCAACTCTTACTCAGGCCCTTGGAGTAGGGGAGCTGCTGCATGTGAAGACAGAGTCCTTGGCACCCTCACTCTGCCTCCTAGGAGATGATCCAGATCCAACATCCTCATTTGAAACCATCCAGGTCAATGTAGGCCACACCTCTGATGATGTCTCAGGTATAACAGCCTGCCCATCTCCAGGCTTTACCAAGGGAGAATGTATACAGCTGTGTGTATGTGTGTAGATGGAGGGAGGGGATGCAGGCAGCAGGACAGGGAGGAAAAGGTTGTGAGGAGAAGTGGCAGATAACCAGGAGAGAAGGCAGAAAGGAGAGGGAGAATTTTAGTAAACTGCAGCAAAGGCAATGTTGACAAGATGGAGATGATTTTTTCTTTTTCTTGTTCCTAGTACTGTGTTATGTCATTCAACTTACCATTACTTTGCATTTTTAAAAAACCTGTGGATAAGCCAGGTGCAGTGGCTCACACCTGTAATCCTAGCACTCAGGGAGGCCAAGGCAGGAGGATCACTTGAGGTCAGGAGTTCAAGACTGGCTTGAGCAAGAGCAAGACCCCATCTCGACAAAAATAGAAAAATTAGCCAGGCATGGTGGCATGC